TCCTGGAGGCAATAGGGAGCCACTGGAATTTATTGAGTAGGGTCAGACCTCAGTTTTTAAGAAAATCACTTTAGTAGCTGAATGGAAAATGGAGTAGAGTGAGAAGATAATTCTGGTGACAGCCTCATCAGTAGGTTATTGCAACAAACTTCAGGGGTGGGGAACCTGCTGCTTTGAGGCCACATGTGGCCCTCTAGGCCTCAAATGTGGCCCTTTGATTGAATCCAAACTTCATAGAACAAATCCCCTTAAAAAGATTTTTTCTGTAAAGCCTGGACTCAGTCAAAAGGCTGCACCCAAGGACCTAGAAGGATACCTAGAATCTAGTTATAAGGTGATGAGTACCTGTATCAGAGTAGATGCAGTGTCAGAGAACAGGAGGCATATTTTTGAGATGTTGCAAAGGGAAAGTTGATAAGCCTTGGCCACAGATTCTATATGGGGAGTGAGAGATAGTGAGGAGTTGAGGAGGACTCCTAGGTTCTGAGCCTGAGGGAATGGGAGGATTGTGTTGCCCTCTACAGTAATATGGAAGGTGAGGGGCAGGGGAGAGGAAAGGTTATGAGTTTGGTTTTGCACATGTGTTTAAGATGACTACTGGACATATAGTTTAAGATGTCTGAAAGGCAAGTTGTAGAAATGAGCTTGGAGGTGAGCAAAGAGGTTTGAGGAAAGGCTAGGTGGATTTGAGAATCATCAGCAGAGAGAGAGCAAGTAAATCCATGGAAGCTGATGAGATCACCATGTGAAAGAATATAGAGGGAAAAGAGAAAAGACTATACTTAAATCCTCCTAGGCTACAGAGAATCTCTGTCTTACATGTTGACTCTGCTTGGGTAAGAAAGTCCCATAGCTCAGGAAGTCCTGTATAAAGCATCTCTGCAAAGTCTGCCTTTGTTAAAGCTGCTGCTGCTCTATTTCAATAGCTGATTATTAGGTCCTTTGTATTGATTGCTCTTTATGGAGTCTCTAATGCAGGACTGGTCAAAACTCAAAACCATTGAAGAAAATCTTCCAAAATCCAGATACCAAGTCTCTGCCTACTTCTGTGTGATCCCTGACCCCAGCTGTAAGTCACCCTTCTAAGTTTGCTTGTTCTAATAAGTGCTTCAGATATGTAGCTTCCAAGTTATTTAATTCCTCTTGGATCACCACCTTAGATGATTTTATCTCTTGAAATATCCCTGCTTCTTTAAATTTCTTGCTGGAATTACTTGAAAACTTGCACAAATAAATCATTTTGGTGGTGATGGTGCTGATGCCAGGACAGGCCTCCAGACGAAGGTGGATATTTGTTGGTTTCTTTTAGATCCCATTTCAGGCAAGCATATCACTCTCAGAGAGTGACTTTGTATCTAACATCCAGCAGAGTTTATTCCCACCTATCCTAGACTTTCTCAGTGTACCCTAAGCTCTGGTCTCATATAAAGAGCCAAGTACAGTACCAGGAACATAGTAGGTGCTTAATAAATACTTATTTCTTCCCCCACCCATAATAACACCCACTATTAGAGCCCTCCTTAATTATGCATCCCTTAAATCTTCATATGACCTGTCCATGATTGACTCCCAAATGAATTTTTCATTCCTGTGACACTTGAGATCATTCTTATTTACTTGCTGATAATGCAGTTGTGAAACATTTTGAGCCCCCCATCATCTGAAAAAGGCCTAAAACCTGGATTGCCTATTCAGGATAAAGAGTTTTGACCTTGAGTTTAACCTACCGTAATGCTTTGCATGCTCTGGCATAACTGACATGCCCTGCTTTGCTCTCTGCGTGAACCCAAAATGCCCCTTCCTGTGTCAGCAACTACAAGGCCAGATGAAGCTAACCAGGAACATTCTTCTATTTATGACTAAGGACAAGGCACCTTGAATGGGACACTATCTTTAATAATGGGACTTTTCTTATGTTTTCTTGTCATGTTAATGATAGAAGAAACACAGACATCCCAGATCTACAATTTCAATTGACACTTTGAGACTTGTCATAATGTATTTACAATCTATCCTATTAAGAAATTCCTTTCTCATGTTATGGTTAACACATATGGAGACTATAATTTTGGTTGACACAGGCATCCTGAGTTGGGATTGCTCTAAGGGTATAAAGGGTCTCCTTCAGCTTGTTTACTTCTGAGTTCAGGATTATTTTCTGACTCCCATGCAATACATGATTCTCTGGCTTAATGAGAATAAATAAGAGCATTTTAGCACATGTACAGCCTGATTCTGTTTGTTCCTTGGTCAAACCTTTGGTATGGTAAAAACTATTCTGTTTGTTCTTCAGTAAACCTTTGATAAGGGGGAACCCCATTCCATTTGTTCTTTGGACAAACCTTTGGTTAAGGAGGAAACTGATTCTATTTGTTTCTTTGGACTAAAACTTTGGTAAATGGTTGACACAGTCTTTAGCTCTTTTCTCTGTCCTTAGCCATTTTTCTTCTCCCTTTACAATCTCCATTAGCAATCTCATTCATTCCCAATCTTTCAACTGTCAAACTTCACAAATATCTCCTGGGATGTTCAATGCTCCTTTCGTGGACTATTGTGTTTTATAGATGTCTAGGGTAATGTCTTATCTCCTACTAAACTATAAATACCTTTAGAGGAGATTCTATGACTTATGTAAATGTTATATCCTAGTATAATACCTGGTACACAGTAGGTGTTTGATAAATTCTTGTCAATTTGTCAACTGTAGGTTGCTCTGTTAATTTTGAGAGAAAATTATTATCAACATATCATTTGCAAGTGTCCACTTGACCTCTTAATTCCTTTTAAATATGTTGTCTTCCAGAAAATTTAGCAAGTTAACAATTCCTTTTACATTCACTGGAGGAAGGGGATAAAGAAAAAGGCACCTAGACTTGTCAGCAAAGGGCCTGAGTTTGTGCCAGCTCTGCCTCTAACCAGCTGGGTGAACTCAGCAAAGTGATGTCAACTCTGAGCCTTAACTTCCTCATCTGTAAAACAAGGAGAGCAATATACACACTACTTAGCTCTAAATATCATTATGAGAAAAGTGTTTTGTAAACTCTAACCTATAAGATAAATGTGAGCTGATGAAACAGCTGAGGGTGGTCTTTCTTAATGGGAGAGGGAAGGTTTGCTTTCCTAGCCTATTGGTGTCTTGACAGAATCATAAATTATGAGATTAACCAAAAACATAAATTATTGGCCTCACATCTATTTGTGTCCTGCTCATCAAACTCATCCTCTGTCTCTGACTTCTTTACTCACACTTTGTGGTTTGGCATCTTCTTCCAGCACTGACTTTCCTGTGAAGATGAAGAACCACACAGAGCTGACTGACTTTATCTTGCTAGGAATCCCTCACAGGGAGGGTCTGGAGACTGTGCTCTTTGTCATCTTCTTCTTCATCTACCTCTTTACCCTGGTAGGGAACTCAACTCATTTTGGTGACCATCTTATCCTCCTCTTGCCTTCACACCCCCATTTATTTCTTCTTGGAACTTTTTTCCATTTTTGACAGTGATCTCTCCTAAAATGATATTGTACCTCTCAGAACAAAGCCAAGCTATCTCTTATCAGGACTGTGCCTCCCAGCTCTTCTACCATTTCTTTGGGCATACTGAGGGTTGTCAGCCTGCAGAATTTCATCTAAGAAAGACAGGATTAGATTGTATCTATGTTTATTTCTCTGAAAGCAGGTAGCATGTATGCACCCACGTATGGGAGCTGCAGTTTGGAACTGAGCTCATTTTGGGGTTAGGGTATACTGTTTATATCCCCTTTCAACAGGGACTGTCACCCCATCACCATTTCACCTCTGGACAGAGGAAATCTCTCTTTTATTGAACCACTCCCAGATTTGGGCTATCTAGACAAAAGAATCTGTCTCTACCCAAGCCTGAGCAGAACACAATGGGCTTTTCTACCTTAGATAAAAGTATTAGTCTTATGACAGTTGTTAGTGTACGGAAAATTTTGATATCCCTACTTGATTTAATCAGTTCATTGTGATTTAATGGGTATGTTACTGTTAATGAATTAAGCAGAATGGGATGAAGTTTGAGTTAATTAATGGTATTAAGATGAGTTTTCATTAATTAAGCATGTATTGGTTATACTAATTGCATTTGATTTATAAGATCATCCATGCTGTATTAGCTAGGCCTCTTCTAAGAACATATATTAACTTGTGTTAAGGATTCCTTTTTGCAATATCCCCTCACCCCTAGAAATCACTACTGCCACTCCTAAGTGACCTTGGCTTTCAAACCACAACTTCCTTGGACCCCTGGATACTGCTGACAAATCACAAACGTTTGATGGACTGTGGGAAAGCCCCGGCTGAGATAAGCTATAGCTGATGACCTGTAAAAGGCCTGTTGACAAAAGTGTTTGTGGTTGACTTGGACATTGTCCTTAGAGAAATCCCCACTACATATACACACACTTCTGAAGATTAGCCTGTTATTATATTAGGAACCTCCAAACTTCTGAAGGAACTTCCCAGGGACTCCCCAAGGATCTATAAAATCCCTCAGCCCCTGAGCATCAAGGTCCTTGGCCTGGAGGAAGGTCTTGGATCTAATTGCTGAGAACCCTCTGGTCTCCCTAAAAAATTGCTAAGTGAATAAGAAGGGTGAGAACAGCTGGAGTCAAGATTGTGCATCTTCCACTAAACAGATTGAGAATGTTTTCCCAATACCAGATAACTAGGCAGATTTTTTAAGGCTGTTAGATCATTCCATTGCTCTTTCTCCTCCACCAATGCCATGAATTACAGGCTTATCAAGACATTCCTGGGAAATTCTGCCCTGGGTATCCCCAACCCAAGGGAATGGGGACTAGAGGCTGAATTATGGGGTCCTACTTATGAGATGGAACAGTTGGATATATGTGAAGAAAAAGAGCAGAAGGGGTACTGTTTGTCATCTGGGAAAAGCAGGCAATCAGAACAGCAGCTTAAGGGGGTAAGGACCAAGATACTGTGACTAGGTAGAATAAAATACCAGATAAAACAAAGATAACTAAAAGTAAGTCCTTTTATTCTTGGTAGTTGAATATTGGCAGGCAATAACAGGTTTCTGAAAAGCTTAAGTACACATGACAAAGCAAGTGAGGATACAAGACTGTAACATACAGAGAAGGCCTTTTCCTTCATCTCAGAGACAGAGATATTTATTTCTAATCCACATCTCTCCACTACTATTGTTGTTGAGCAGAGAATAGAGCCTAAAAGCCAAGGGCTCATGGCCAATAGTCATAGAATTCCACCTCCATGACCAAAGATTAGTCTCTATGTCTCCAACAGCTGCCATAGGTGGCATGAGGAGCTCATCATGCTTATAGAACTGGAGGATATAACGGCCACACAGACAGAATCAGAATGGTCCAGTGCAGTTTAGGTATCTCTTTCCAAGCCCATCCTCCAGGCATAGAGTTAGGTTAAACCTCATGCTTGCCTTCCACCTCGAGTGGGAATCCCTTTCTTTGTTGGAGTCCTTACCTGCTCACCAGCTTTGGCCAGGTAGTGTGCAAGATAAAGTGCTACAAGAATTTTTTTTAAGTCACCTAACAATAATAAATCTAGTTCTGTTATACAATAACATATGTCATGAAAGATGCATGTCCTACCATTATCTAAATTTTAGCTCTCCTCAAAAGTGAAATCCCTACCTGCACACAGACAAAAAGACACTTCAAACTAGGCACTTCCCTCCCTCTGTTTACTCATTAATAAAACAGGGGGAATCATTCTTCATTCATATGCCTTGAGATAGTCTAAAGGAGGGAAGGGAAAAAGCTAGAGTAATATCTGCCTTCCCCAGCCCTGCACTTCATGGATTTTATGCAGTGACAGAGATTCTGGTAACCACAAAGAATGATCTAGTATAAAAGTGTTTGTGGAACTGAAAGGAAGAGTTCTTTCTTGATTCTTCCTCCTTTCTACCCTCCCCCCAAAATTATTTTTATTTATTTTGTGCATATTTTGGAATTTACTAATTTGTGTACTTGCTGCTTTCCCCTGAGTATCATTTTTGTCTTCTTTGCATTAGCTCCTAGCACATGCCCAACACATAGTAGAGCCCTTAAAAATTACTTGAACTGATCCACATGGAATCTGACTGACCAGTCCCTATGGGGAATGAGCATAACCAGGAAGGAAGGCACAGCAACAGGTTTTAGCAGCACAGAGGGTAAGGAGCGGCAGCCAGAGATAAACACTTCCATTTCTTCTCTCACAGGCCAAAGACAGCAGGATCCACAGATGATTTCAGGAGAGCATTGGCAGCTTTGATGCATTCACCCAGGGAAGGATCTGTAAACATAAGAAGATGGATAACATGATAAATGCCAGGAAAAGCAGAGAAGCAGGTTCACTTCACCAGTCTGCATCCTATTCCCTTTCATCTCCCTTTCCTTTATTCCTTCTTTGTCCCCCTTTTTGTTGCAGTTGTATCATTTCAGTAGTGTCTCACTCTTTGTGACTCTATTCGGGTTTTGTTGGCAATGATATTGGAGTAGTTTGCCATTTCCTTCTCCAGATCACTTTACAGATGAGGATCTGAGGCAAACAGGGTTAAGTAACTTTCTAAGGGTCATACAGCTAGCAAGCACCTGAGGCCAGATTTGAACTTAGATCCTCCTGACTCCAGGGCCAGAGCTCTATCCACTGTACTATCTAGCTATCCCTATTCCCATTCTGTCCTCCCCCAACCATTTCTAGCTCCAGCAAACATTCATTAAACATTTATTATGTTTAACAGAAGGCACTGCTATATTCCCACCAAGAGTTATGTTCTTTCTCTTTTCTCATCCCTTAAATTCCCCTTTCACTTTTTCTGGACCCACAAACACTTCTGAGGGACAATATTCTTGAAACCAGAGGAGTGAATAGCTGTTAGATGAGTCTCCGGGCATCTATGGTAGGAGTGATGCTGGCAGCCTGGCAGAAGGAATGTGAAGAGGGCCAAGACCACTCTGTAGAGAGTTCTTCATCTCCCACCAGCCTTTCCCATAGGCATTTCCAACCTTCTTCTTGTGTCTCCTCTATGTCCCTCACTATCTATGAGTCTATCCTCTGGGTTGAAACACCAAAAAAGTGGAACAGAAAGGAATCAGTCCATCAATCTCTCCATCTTTCATCCTAGTCAGGTTAATAAAGCTGTATCCTGAGGAAATAGCAAGTCTCCTGATGTATATGGAAAAAGGTCCTCAAGGCAGTATCCTTACCAGATCGAGCCTGTATCCATGCCACAGCCTTCCTTTCCAGGAGTTCCCATTCTTCTCTCTGGTCACAACTGGAGCTGTGCATCCACAGCACAGCTAAGATGGTGGCCCACCTTGGGACATCTTTACTCTAGAGAATATACAGAACCCAAGGCACCAGGGTCAGGGTACCCCAGAAAGGGGCAGACAAACCATGGGATGGTTCCTAGCCCTTCCAGGACCATAGAAAGAACTGATCCCAGATTCATTAACTATTTCTTTCAGTTCCCTGCCCTTATTGTTCTCCTCAATGAATAAATGTTTACTGAGCACTGATACATGAAGAACTATCTAGCTTTAAGGGCTAGAAAGTATTTCCATCAACCTCTCTCAGTCACAGATCACACCTAATGAGCAATGGCTCCCATCATTTTGTCCAAAGGTGGATTGCTCTCCCTTACTCTCTCTCTCTTGCTCTTCCCCCTAATACATACCCCACCCTATGCCTTCCTCTCTCTGGATCCTTACCTGATCAGGCAATGCAGCCAATGCACTCTGAACACTCATCCCCAGGACTGAGGCCAGAGCTTCATCCAGTTCCCAGGAACCATCTGCCTTCTGCAGCGAAACCAGCTGCAAAAGTGGAGACTCTGATGGGGATGTGTCTAGGGGAATAAACAGTAAATTTCAGCATCACTCACACCCCAATGGCAGTTGACTGAAAATGTCATTCTGTAAAGTCCTACTAGACACAAAGCAGGATGCGTTAGAAGGGTAAAATGGAGAGGGCTCCTAGCAGTAACGCTGGTTTGAGAGTCCCTAGGTTTCATATCAATGGAGCCTCCGACAGCAACTCCCCCAACAATTTCCCCAAGGCTCTGCTGAGCCCCAGGGCAATCCACCTGGTAGGCCTTGCTCCAGTGCAAGCCAGGATTTCCAGTTCAAAAGAGCAGCAAGGACTGGTCCCTAGTACAGGTCATCAGCTGGTCCTGACCCCATTCCTGACCACCATTGATGCCCCACCTCACTAGCCAACCAGCAGCAAGACCCTGCTCACAGTACAAGGCAGCACCTAGGCCCTGACGCCCAGTGAAAGCCAGTAGCAAGGCCCCAGAGCCTGGAGACAAGAGGCATAGGACAGTGTAGGAGCAGAGCCCAACACTCATAGATAAGCATAAAGTCACAAAATAGGCAGAAAAATATGAGCAAATCCCTCCAACCCCCTCAAAAAAGAACTTGATTATATAAAGTTACTATGGTGACAGAGAGGATTCAAGGCACAAACTTGAATGAGAACAACAGTGTCAAAATGATTACATGTGAAGCCTCAAAGAGAAATGCAAATTGGTCTCAGCCCCAAAGAGAACTCATGGAAGAGCTTAAAGAAGATTTTTATTTATTTTCCCCCCAATGATAATATTTTAAACAATATTTTATTTTTTTCTCAATTGTACATCAAGACATTTTTAGCATTTATTTTTTATAAGATTTAGAGGCTTTTTTGGAAAAGAAATGAATACAAGGCAAGATAATCATGAAAAAAGAGTCAACTGCTTGGAAAAAGAAACACAAAAAATGGAAAAAAAGATATACAAAAATTCACCAAAGAAAACAGCTCCTTTAAAAAATAGAATTGGCCAAATTTGAGGGGGGAAAAAAGTACAATAGCTCACTGAAGAAAATAATTCCTTAAAAATTAGAATTGGGCATGAGGAAGCCAAAGATTCCATAAGACATCAAGATATGATAAAACATAATTAAAAGGTTAAAAAAGATAGAAAATGTGAAATTTTTCATTGGTTAAAAAAAAATTGACCTAGGAGAGATAATTTAAGAATTATTGAACTGCAAGAACACCATGATCAAAAAAGTGCTTACACATCATATTTCAAGTGCTCATCAAGGAAAGCTGCCCTGATATATTGGAACCAGAGGACAAAACAACAATGGGAAGAATCCACCAATCACCACCTGAAAGAGATCTCAAAAAGAAAACTCCAAGGAATATCATAGCCAAATTCCAGAGCTCCCAGTTCAAGGAGAAAATACTTCAAGCAGACGAAAAGAAACAATTCAAATATTGTAGAGGCACAGTCAGGATTACATAGGATTTAGCAGCTTCTACATAAAAGAACTAAAAGGCTTGGCATAAGATATTCTGGAAGGCAAAGGAGATAAGAGTACAACCAAGAATAACTTAGCCAGCAAAACTGAGTATACCCCTTCAGGGGAAAAATGGTCATTTAATGAAACAGGACTTTCAAGCATTCCTAATTAAAAGACCAGAGCTGAATAAAAAAATTGATCTTCAAATACAAGACTCAAGAGAAACATAAAAAGGTAAAACAAAAGCAAGAAAGAGAAAACATAAGAGATTCAATGAGGTTAAACTGTTTATTTTCATACACGGTAAGGTGATATTTGTAACTCTTAGAACTTTAACACTATAAGGGCAATTAGGAGTATTCATAGACGTAGGATGATGGTGTGAGATGACTTGATGGAACGATATCCAAAAAAAAATTCCAAAAATTGAGGAGTAAGAAAGAAGATTGTACTGGAAGAAGAGGGAAAGGAGAGATAGAATGGGGTAAATCATCTTAGTAAAAGAGGTATGAAAGAGCTTTTAGAATGAAGAAGAAGATGGGGGAGGTGGCAGGCAAAGTTTAATCTTACTTTCATCAGTATCGGTTCAAAGAGGGAATAACATACTCAGTTGGAAATAGAAATCAGTCTTACCTTATAGGAAAGCAAATAGTGATGAGGATAAGAGAAGAGGAAGCGGGGCTGAGAGAAGGAGTGGGGCTTGGAGGAGGCAGTGATCAGAAGTAAAACTTTTGTAAGGACAGACAGGGTGAAAGGGAAGAGAGGAAGAAATATAAACAAGACCAAAACAAGGTGGAAGGAAATACACAGTTATTTATTATTATTATACATATGAATAGAATGAACTCATACATAAAATAAAAACAGATAGTAGTATAGATTAAAAGCCAGAATCCTACAATATGTTATTTACAAGAAACATATCTGAAACAGAGACATACAGAGTAAAAGTAAGGGGCTGGAGCAGAATCTATTATACTTCAGATGAAGTTAAAATAGTAATCATGATCTGGGAGAAAGCAAAAGCAAAAATAGACCTAATTAAGAGAAATAAGGAAGGAAACCAAGAGGTGTGAAAAGATACCACAGACAATGAAGTATTATCAATACTAAACAGATATGCACCAAATGGTACAGCATCTAAATTTTTGAAGAAGTTGGATGAGTCACAGAAGGAAAGAGAAAGTAAAACTGTACTAGGGGGAACCTCAAGTTGGCAAGTTGGCAAGTTCAATGTAGAGAAGGAAGTGAAGAGGCAGAACATGTGGAGCTAAGAAATAAGCCTGACAGGCTTCCCACAGAGGTGATGCTGGGAGCTAAGTCTTTTCAGTAAAGCACATTTTTGGCCTTCAGAAGAACAATGAAGTAGATTCACTGGGGAAAACATTTGTTAAACAGCCAGAGAAGAATGAGGCAAAAATGAATGGTTGATGACTTCTTGACTAACACAGCCTCTACAGAGAAACACAATTATTTCAGAATTTTAAGGAACCACAGTAGGCCTCTGGTCAAATTCCATACAACCCCACAGGAAGCCCCACTACAACATCGCACCAGCCTTTGCTTAAAGACCTCCTGTAAAGGGGTACCCACTAACTCGAGGCTGCCCATTTTTCGTTTGCAAGCTCTAGTTTATAAGGTGCTTTTTTCTTATATCAAACTTTCATTTGTGATTTTCCAACTTCTAACTACAGCTTCTAGTTTTGTTCTCTAGAACCACTTGTACACATATCATAACAATAGAAAGCTCTCTTGAGTTCATAAGACATAAAGTTATTCAAGTACATGACAGGAAAACCTCCTGAGATGACCTCACCTGAAAACCACCATCCACTCCTCCCGATCCTATGGGGGCACAGGATGTCTCCAGAAGAAACCCACGATGCAATCCCGAAGATCATGAAGAACTGAGCAAAAACCTAAAGACCTGACGACCAGTTTTATTTTGAAATTGCTGCTACATGCTGAATGCAGGAGGAAAAAGTAGAGATGGGAAGTAAAGAACAGATTGAGATGGAGACCAAGATTGGGATTTCCAGGTGATTGCCAGGAAATATGAAGAAAAAACTATTTACAATCTCTGCCTCTACTTCCTCGATTAGCTCACCTCTCAACATCTTTCTTGCTTTCTGATCTTATTACTAAATTAAAACTATTCTCTCCAAAATTACCAATGGCCTCTTAACTTCCAAATCAGATAGACTTTTCTCAATCCTAATCCTTCTCGACCTATCTGCAGCAATTAACGCTGGAGGCATCCTTAGCTTCTTGGATAGTCATTCTTCTATGTAACTGTCCTTTAAGGGATACAGGAATAAAATGGCTATAATTTTAGCAATTTTTTGACACTGCTCTCCAACTAGCCAACCCTTCTTAGTCTCCCTTCCGGAGCCATCATCTATACAAGGATACCTAACTGGTTATACTCAAAGGTTCTTCCTCAGGACTTCTATTGTTCCTTATTCTGAATAATTGACATAACTAGCTCCCATAGATTTAATTTTGTCCATGGAGATCATGCCCACATCTATATTTCTAGCCCTCATCTCTCAACAAGGGCTATAATCTCACATAATAAAATACCTATTTGACATTTTAAACTCTATATCTTGTAGGCATCTCAATGTCAACAAGTCCACAAAAGAACTCATTATCTTCCTCCCAAATACATCTTTCTTCATATTTTATTTCCTTTTTTTTTTTTTTGGCTAGGTAATGAGGCCAAGTGACTTGCCTAGGGTCACACAGCTAGCAAGTGTGTGTCTGAGGCTGGATTTGAACTTAGGTCCTCTTGAATCCAGGGCTGGTGCTATATCCACTGAGCCACCTAGCTGCCCCCTATATTTTATTTCTGTTAAGGGAATAGCCATCCTTTCATTCAACAGATTTATGATCTTGGAATCATCCTTAATTCCTCTTATTCACCCCACACAGCCAGATCAGTTGCCAAATCTGATCACGTCTACCTCCCATAGCACTCTCTTCCCTTTCTATCCACCTACATGGTCATCAACCTAATTCACTGTCCCTGGGATTGTTGCATTGCATCCTTACTGGTCTCTCTGCCTTAAGTCTCTGTCACTCCAATCAACCCTCCAGACATCTGCAAAATTGATTTTCCTAAAACATAGGCCTGACCATGTGACTTCCCTTCTTAATAAACTGCAGGGACTTCTCATAAACCCACAGTTTCCACATTAAGGTGCACTCCCCACATGTGTGATAGCAGATCTTAGAAAAGGATGGGGCTGTTTGGTGCCAAACTCCATAAAAAAATTTCCTCTTCTTTTATTGGGAGTTATAAAGTCTGGTGAAGTTTGGAGCAGAGAAGAGAGGAGAAGAAAGAGTTGATACTTAGCCACCAGGAAGAGTACATCTTGGTGAGAAATGATATAAGGGACCAGGGGACAAGGCAGCCAAGCAAGGCCCACAGTGGCAATATGGAGACAAATCAACTTCCTTCCCTTGCCTAATACTTTTCAGAGGTAAAGCCTCAAAGAAATAATCATTTGGAACAAGAGGTTTGCAGCACACAAAGGGCTAATGACACAAAGCAGAGTCCAGAATCCCCCTCACCTCTAGCCATGCAATCCTCTGTGAACTTGATGCTTGAGCTACCATGGAGTGATGCCATTTTAAAAGAAAGCTGTTCCAAATTTGGAAACATGGCAGTCTTCTGTTTTTTGAAGAGGGGGCGGACACTTTAAAAAAAAAATCCTACAGGTAGAATAGACCAAAATGCAAAATAAAACAAAAAATGGAATCTTACCTCTGGCAGACATCACTGTGAAACAGTCTGAGTCATAGGCACATCTATCATCACAGTCCTCAGGCTCAAATAAATAACTACTCATTGCTATCATGTATGGTGAAGATGAATCATGTAAACACAGTTGGAAAGGAGATAACATCATATCTGAAACCAAGTAGGAAAGGAGTTAAGATTAGAACGGCTTAGATAGAAAGTCCAGAAGAAGGAAGATTATTCTTCAAGGTGTGTGGCCCCAACCACATTCTCTATCTCTAGCTATAAGGTCCTTTCTTCAGGAGCGTCTGTCTCTGTAGATGTCAAAGTGGTCCCCTACAACAGCTGTTCAGTGTGTCCCCAATATCTTCTTGGTAGGTAATATCCATCTACTGAACATTATGCAGCCATCTACATAACTGTAGCTTAAGGGATACAAGAATAAACTGGCAATAATTTTAGCAAGTATGGCTTTCTTACCCTCTAAGATATATGCTTCTTAATATTTCTTCCCCTCCCCTTTATTTCTGTCTTCTCTATAGTTTTCCATCTCCCCCAAGATACAGCCCCCCACCAGCTATTGCAGCAGGAAAACTACTCTAATAAAGCATCTCAAAACAACAGGCAGGACATTCAAAAATCAAAAGGACAGAAAATAACAATATGATTTCTTTATCTCTAGAATATGGGTCAAGGGGCTGAAATCCACCTTACGTGCTCTTCCTAGAGGCGCATTCATATTGATAGAAGCCAATGGAATATCCCTCTGAGTTAGGGGCCCCTGAATGGGCTGATTGAGCTCCTTATTGATAGCA